TAAGAAAAGATGGCCTTATTTTCTGGATGCTAAATAGTCAACAATAAATTGTATATAAAGGGTATACATTAGACTCCACTTCAGTAATAATTTCTAAAGAACTTCGTAGTGAAATTACATTGTTGTCTGCTCTCCAATGCATTTATACGTCATGATAATGATAATGTATCTGCTTAAAGCACTTGACTCAGAACACATCTGAGTCACAAATCACAGATTTTATTGCTATTAATGTATATTGAGGACTCGTACAATTAAACATTGTCAAGCATTTATGATTTACATGCTACTACTTCAATTGGAAAACAATTACACAAGTGATGGCTCTGCTTATAATCAGCCTACAATTCTGTATTACTTACTGTAGAACAGAAAAGTCACACAGTTGTTTACAGTGCACAGCAGAAAAAAAAATCAGGATTTTTTTTTTTTTTTTTTACACAAGCTAGTTTTCTACGTTCACAATATCTTTTTGTAATTAAAAATGGAAAGTACAGCTCCCTACAGCTCTCATCTCCATTGTTCAGTACCCAAAACACCATTGCAAGATTTTTTTATATCTCCACAGTGCATAACCACAAGTAAAACTTGCACAGTAAAAATACACATTCATATAGAACTGCAAAGAACTTTCCTTACCTCAGACATTCTTACTGTGCTTATGTTTCCAGAGCTATAAAACAGTTTCCCATTCCCTCAGTGAGTTGTACAAAGAAGTACTGGAAACACTCCTGCCTGTACAAGTACTAAGGCAGAACCATCACACGCCTCTTTACTCTTGTCTGACTCTGAGCACCTCAAGGTCTGATGTATGCTCAGGCTGTGCACAGGGGAGTGAAATAAGATCCTCCCCCTTGGTGTTCTCCAGACCTACAGTACGAAGTTGTGTCTGCCTCTCACCTCTGCAGCCAGCTCTCACCTCGCTGCCCCGGAGTGGTGTGCTCCAGCGTGCTCCTCCAGTCGCAGGGCAGTCCCCTCACAGCTGGCTTGAAGAGGGCATGACACTCATCTTTCACAGAGATTTGATCAAAAGGAGTCACGGAGGCTTGAGGCGCTCCTAATGCAGTGCGAGGAGATTCTACCTCTGCTCTGGCAGCCTAAGTAATGCATTAAATCAATGCAGCTGACCTAAGGCCTATTACAGGCTTTTTTTTTTGGGGTCCTTTTTTTTTTCCTTTCAGCATGTACAACTATCTGCAAATAAGCTATGAGGTACTTATGATTAACATTACTTATTTCTAGGTCAGAGTGTTGTTTTTCAAGTTGCAGCTGCTGTGGGGTTTTTTTTTTTTTTTCTTTTTAAACATTTTAACATTTTGCAGGTCTCAAAAGTTCAATGAGTGGGGTGTGTAATTTTTAAAGTTAAAGCATTTCCCCCTATCAACTTACTTTTGAGTTAGGGCTGATTTTTTTTTTCTTTTTATGAAGTTGAAGCTTCCTATTAAGAGAAATACAGGTCATAAAGACAGGAGAAGAATTACTTTCCAGTAATTGGGGCAAAATCTGGTTTCAGTTATTCAGGTGTTGGGTTGCATTCATGAGTTAGAGCAGGATTTTTGTCATAGTCATTTCTCACCTATTTAAAAAAACAAAACCAAACCTGAACAAAACACTTCTCTCCTCCTCTCTACTCCACTTTTGCCTCCCGTAGATAATTTCTTGGCACTCTCCTAACCCAGGAATACAACGTACTACACCCAGAGATAGACACGAGCAGGTTGCATTGAACTCAATAGGAATCCTTGTAGGAACACACCAGGACAATACTTGACCAGGTGAATACCTGTGATCCCATAGGAAAGGCAGCAGGAAATAAGATGGCTGTAGGGAGAAGACAGCCAACCTATTATTATCGTTGGTTAATTTGTTGTCTTCTAATCCTATTCACTATTGGCTAGATACATACACAATGTATAAGGAGAGAACTTAATTTACATTTTACTAAATACTGGAGTACAGTTAATGTTCACTCCACAGCAGTAGCTAGAACCAGGTCAGGATAAAGCCCACGTGATATGGGAATCTGGTCCCATAGAGCATGACATGAAGCATACGCTTTCCCTAAATCCCTAGGTTTCTCCACTCTGTGCATTATTTCTCCCACCAAGCTATCGAACAACACTGAAAAAACTGAGAGGGGGATTTAGTTTCATAGTATGGTCTGCCAGATACTTCTGCCAAAAACCACTGAAGTGTGGGAAGAGTCAACCACCAATGGTGGCTTGGTCCTTCCCCAGCAGAGCTCTGCATGGGGGCTCCAGTGCCACCTCTGTCCCCTGCAACTTGCCAGGGCACTTCTCTCTTGGGCACACAGGACAGTTACACATAGATTATCAGCGGTCTTGCAAGATGAAGGAAAAAGTGCCTGAGAAGTCGTGGCCAACATCATGCTGTTTGAGGTGATTCTTAGCAGCAGTGTTTTAGAAGTATACATTCTATGATGAGGACAAAACCTAACTGCTCTCTCATGACTAGAACTCAAAGCCAAAGGCACGCCTTGTTACTAAAGTCGTATTTCCTTCTTAATGAAATAAGCAGCCATGTAACTAAAAAGGACTCTATCTGATTGAGAATTCTGCAACAGAAGTGGGAAGAGTGGCTTAAGATGACATAAACTGCCAGAAGCTCTGAATTGACTTCAAAATGATAAGTGACTAAAACTTAGATGTGTGGAGAGCTGCTCTCCCCTCTAGCCAGTTACCAGGAAAAAACTATTTACTAGCTATCTGCCATTTGCCTGGAAGATGATAATTCTTATTAAATGGACTAACTACCCATAGCAAGCAATTTAAGACCAATTTACTTTTTTCTTAATTAATTATCTACTAAGAGTCTTTTATTTTAAGCATTATTTTCATTATTCGAGCTTTTTCAATGAATATTTTATGGGAACATTATTCATGCCTTGCTCTTTTTAAACTATTCACTATCATCAGTCAGCAATTTTTCAGCATTTTACTATCTGCACACCTTCTAGTAAACTCCAACAACCTCTAGCATAATGTGACACGTGCAAGGCATAGGTTGTATCTATAGGTCAACTTTTAAAGAAATACTGGCACATTAACAGCGTTTTCAGTAATTTCAGCTGATTCATAGTTCAAGCCTGCTTGTACAGAACAGTTATCAAGAAGTGTCTTGAAGAATGATCAAAATGGAGCCAGAGGGTGACTCCCATAACTCCTCTTCCAGCAGTAAAATGTAATGGAAAACCAGCTTCTTGGGGAAAGAAAGAGGCATCAGGACAGGGCACCAGGCTTGCGCCAGAGGTCTTGGGCTTCTTTTGTGGCTCTGCCACTGAGTTGTTATTTGACCTTGGGCAATTTTTTAAAATTCTGATTTCTATTTCCTTGCTTCTCTCTCTCTCTTTTTTTTTTTTTAAATCTATTTGGGTTGTAAACTCCTTGAGGGAACCACGGCATCTTACTGTGTTCTCAGGGACAGTGCTGGGGGCAAAAGAAAGGGGTCCCCGGGTCTGAACTCCATGTAAGTCATAATGTAAATACCCAGAATCATGGCATAACAACACAGCCCAAGGAAAGCTGCTTTCTCCTCCCACCTGCCCCAGCCTGTTTCTTCTTCTCCGTGTCTCAGCCTGTGCGTTCAGAGCAGCATGAATGTAAGGGGATGTAGGGCAGATTGTGAAGTACCAAAACTACTTAACTAAATACAAAAGTACTCATAGTTTTGAGAAGAGGTCCAACACGTGGAACTGACTATAAGCAAAAAGCTGATGCTCTTACCTGATTTTATTATCCAGGATGCTTAAAAAATGGGTACTAATCCTAGATAATTACTACAACTGAGCCAGGGTGATATAGCACAAAAGTGCAGTACAAACCCCAGGAAAAGATTTCTCCTAATTTTAAGTTTCAATCATGACCTGAATTTTGGTGTTTGATTCCAAAAAGAAAAAAAGAGAATCATTTTAAAAAGAATGTCAAGAAACTAATCAAGCCCAACTAAACATTATGTTTCGTCTTTGCTGCTGCATTCTCTAGGCAAACGGGCATGTAACTTCCCCAACCACAGGCTGCCTGCTTCACGCCTCTACCAGAGTTAGCTGCAAAACGGCGTTAACCTCCGTGTCCTGCCTTCTTGGCCTAAATTCCAAACACATAATACACTATGTCCCTCTTACTTAAATCAGTGCTGGCAAAGATCTTAGTGCTAATTTAATGCTCTGCTCCCTTATCGCCTTGGAGACATGTGTGGATTAAACATTTCACCTCTCAGAATACATTTGAAGTAATGGTCAGCCCCATGATCACGGAGATGGGCACTAGATCACCTTTCAGGGAGAAAAGCCAACAGGAGTAGAAATTACTGTCCAGGACTGAAGGGACAAGATTTTGGGGAGGTAGGAGGGCAAAGAGGAAACAGACCTTGAGAACAAAGAGAACTGAGGTCCTATCAGCAAGGCATAAACACAGTTGTGGGTTTCAAACAACTTGCAAGTCCAATGGTTTTTAAAATTTAACTGAATTTTGCACATGAAGATGAAAGTTGTTTTAAACTTAGTGTGCTGCAGTACAGGTTTTGAGCACTAGTCAAACTACAAATAGGCATGCTAAAGCCATAAAGTACTTGATAAAGTTTCTTAAGATCCATGGAAGGTCAGGTAGGGCTCTCCAGTTCTCATCTAAGCAACACAGAAGCCCAAATCTCTTGTTCAGTTTTTCCAGGTAGGCTGATTTCATAAGGTGGCCCAAGCACATAATACTGAGGAATAAAGTGTCCCAAACTGTTTTCCACCAACAGTTTAACCAGAGTTCAAATGTTGATCTTAGTCTTGCTATTTACATCCTCTTTAGTGCAATTAGACAAAAAGAACCCAATAAACCCAAGAAGCTTATTTAATACTATCTGCATTTGCACCCCTGCTTCAGCACTAATTTTCATCTGGCTGTTCACTGCATCACTTTTCTTCTGTAGCTCAAAATAGCAGTGAAGTTAAGTGAATACTAAATATTAGCATTTGTAATGGCCAAAGTAGTGTGTATAGCAGACCCAGAAAGACACCACCAATACCAGATTGTACCACTGATCCATCCCTGTGAAACAGTGCTTCTCCAGTGAAACAGTCACTGGAATCAAGAAACCCTGCAATTAACTATTGTGAAAAGACCTGCCTGAATAGTAAGTTTCTTTTGAACTTTCATTAATTGTTGCTTTATGCCACAATGTATTTGTCTTTGAAAAAAAATTGATTCTATAAAAGTTTGCCATCTAATATAGTTAGTTTGGCTTTTAAAAAGTTAGATCCTTTTTCAAAGCCAATTTCTCAGCACGAAAGGTACCATATTTTTTACAACATAGCTTAATTATGCATTGCACAGAAAAAGCTTTTTATTACACTGGTTTTAAAACATGTTGCTTTAAAATGTGAAACAGAATAAACCAAAGGACTTGGTTTGACTTCTCTGTACGAATCACTACATTGTATCTTATTAATCTCTTCGCTAATTGAGGTGGCCCGGTTGATGATCCTCCTACCAAAGCCTTCCCTTGCTTCCAATGATCTTTGTAATTGTGTATTTTGATACTTCAGTTTTCATTCTTTGCCTAAATCTTTTTGGAGAGAGCTTAGGATCATCAGAAGGGATACACTGCCCCACTTGACTTTTTGATAGCATTAGTGTACTTTAAATATTACACTATTCCACTCTTGCTTTCTAGCATTTTAGTTTCCTCCCTTTAATGCTATTTTTGCACTGAGTTGAAGACACACAGAACTTTTAGCATTGATTACAAACGGATAAATACAGCTTTTTCTCTCTCCTA